TAAATATGTTTTCTTTTTCATTCTTTCTCTTTAATCTTCGTCAAAGCAGAAAATCTGAATCTGAAGTTGAGTGTCCTGAAATAAAATTTATCACTTGTCTCGAGTTTTTTGGTGTTGCAAACGAGCCACGTGACTCTTTTGGCTGACTTGTGCTAATAATAACAAAAGTATATTATGTGACTTGTCAGGGTGGACATTTCCTGTGAGAGCGAGCTCGCTGGAGAAATGAAGCTTCGAAATCTCCTCCTGCCGCTTGCAGTGGGGAGGAAGTGGACACAAGGAAAGCAACATCTGCACAGCACTATGCAGCTTAATTAATTAAGAACAACTTTATGGGCAGATTAGCAAATGATTAGCAAATGATTGCAGCTAATTATACTTCATTCAGTGATGTCTCCACTACCTCACTACCTTTATCTGGATGCTGTTGTTAGTGAGCTGGCCAGATGCATCACTACATGGCACTGATATGGATACAAAAACAGCATAAGATGATACAGTGAGAACACCCACACACACGCCAATACACTTCTTAATGAAACCATTCTCACCTTGCTTTGTTTTGCAAACTCAAATCTTTGCTTTTAGTTTTATGTCTTTATGCGTTTTACAATTTTACCGAAAGGCCAAAAAAGAGAAGAACAAAACACCCAATGCTGCTGAGGGACACAACTAATGATCTTTACCATTTTACATCTGCTGGCAACTCGTGGAGAGCTGATCATGTGTGGAGGACCGTCAGAGTTCATGGGATTGTTACCATCTTGTTCTGTTATTTGAAATGTTTATTCTTGTGCAATGTTCACCTAGGATATAAACTTAATATTTTCCATGATGGGTGTTGTTCTGGCTAGTGTGGTCAACTCACAACATGGTCTCTGGTCTGCTCCTGTCATTATTTGTTTGGGCTTTTGGCATACCTAAATGTTTTACAAGGAGGGAAATGAAACCATTTGCTAGCCTTGGATATAAACACGTTGTGTTCTCATAGGAAACATTCTGATGTTTTAATTAAAGAAAACTTGGCAGTGGAAAAAAAAACACCACTTCTGTCTTTAAAAAGTTTTCTATCCATCCATTTTTTTAATATCTTATCCCGTGGGGGGAAGGGCTATCCCACTTGACAGAGGGTACCTTGAAACAACCATGTCACTTTAGCATCAATTTCAAGCCATGAGTTAACCTAAAATTGCATTTATCTGGCCAGGAGGAAGCTGGAGTAATCAGAGAAAACTCATGAGGTTCAAACCTGATTATATAAATGATGGATATGATGTTAACCACTGGTCATCTGGACTTGAGTTTGGCATTTTGACCATAGCCAATGAAAGGGATTGAGAGCACAAGGTCATAAGATAAGCATTTGCTGAGGTCATATATAAGGTGAACTTTCCTATAGACTTAAATACAACATGACCTCCTTTGTGCAAAGACAGAGTTGCTCCCTGCTGGCTGTTTCTGCACTAGTTGTGCCAGACTGCTGATCCTTGTGGGTAAGGGGTTAAAAGGCTGTGGTCAACGAAAATAATGAATGGGGTACTATAGAAAATAAATGACCTATTTTATAAGTGTTCTTGTTTGTCTGAGTCTTGCAACTGCTCTGTGTTCCGCACTGTAATTACTCCAGTCCTTTTTGGCCACAATAGAACCATTACACTATATATTTATTGCATTTTGTGTCTGTGTTCTGTCTACCTCCCCTCATCTACCCCCACATTTTCATGCCTTACGGTGGCCCTTAAAAAAAAAAAACTTTTTTTTTTCAAACAATGCTACCAGGCACATCTCTTTCCAATAAAATGATGAGTTGAAGTTGGTGTGACTTTGATTTGGGGGAGGGGGGGGGGGGGGGGGGGGGGGGGCAGGACCCCTTTCTGCAAGCTGCACTACATGAGAGACATCTCCATTAGGAGGCAAGATAAAGATCACTATTTTACATGTTTATAGTGAAATAAATGTATATTAAAAAATACTTGTGTGTGCATGAATATGTTAAGAAGCATATTTGATAGTTTGTTTTACTTTTTAAAATTTATTTATACTGTAAAACTGCTCATTTTCATTCGTTGCCTCAAGGCAACACTGCGCAGTTAGCCCAATTTTTTCAGGCAATATAGTGCATTTGGATATGTGTGTAGAGATGTGTTTGTGTGCATTTATATGATCATAGTCAATGTTTTTTACTTTACAATCTACTCATAATTACAGGACACGAATGTAAAAGCTTTTTATGCAAGGAAACCAAGGGAATGTGCACTTTCTGTCCTCAGAAAGTGAGGACAGTGAGCTTTCAGGGAGTGACAGTGAAGTAGAGGAGTGGATCCCTGAATGAGGTTTGAGGGACACTTAGGAGCTCAGGGGTCAGGGGTCAGTTGGTAAAGTAACTGTGTCTGTGTGTGTGTTAGTGCCCACATAGCAAGCAGGTCTGGCCAGGATCTGGTATCAAGCTGGCACTTTGAGTAATCTGGGAGAGTAGAAAAGCGCTACATAAAAATCAGTCCATTCACCGTCTGAACAGAGTTTCGGCATTTTACTTTTGCACTGTTTTGCATGTTCTGGCACATGTTGTTATTGCATGGCTTGATTAAGGTACACATTATGCTGACATCTGGGGCCAGAGCTGAAACCGTTCTGGGCCAGCACAGGGCCAGCAGTGTGTCTACAACTGGCCCGTGGCTGCACACCACCTACAGATGGCCCACATACCGCAATGAATAACGGCCCTTTGGTGGCCCAGATCAGGTTTGCCAGAGGTAATCCACACATGGGCCAGCACAGGACGACCAGGGTGTCTGAAACTGGCCTTGTGCTGGCCCATGTGTGGGCCACCTCTGGCAAACCAGGTCTGGGCCACCAAAGGGCCATCATTCTTTGCGGTATGTGGGCCATGTGTAAGCACATTGTGTGGGCCTGATCCCTGCCATACCAATATTGCTGTGTGGGTGTCAGTGTGTGTGGTCATGTATTACTTATTGTTGTGGGGACACAAATTTGTTTACACACTCAAATTGTGAGGTCTCGCCTACTTTATGGAGACAAATTGCAAGATAAATCATTCAATTTTAGGGTGAAGGCTTGAGTCAGGGTTAGGGTAAGGTTCAGGCAGGGACTTGTGATGGGTAGAGTCAGGATAAATCTCCAGAAAATTAATGTAAGTTAATGTAATGTCCCCAAAAGTGATGGAAACACAACGTGTGTGTGTGCGTGCGCGCACGTGCATGGGGTTAGGGTCAAATGTTGGATGTATTTTGGTGTTTTATTGTTTTGTGAAATATTTACATTGTTTATTTGTTGTTTATTTATTTGTTCTTTCTTGTTGTACTAATACAACTTATTATAGAATAACTTGGCATTTTACTACCCTTGTTGCACAGTGTTGCCTTGAAGCAACAAACCAATATCTGTTTGGGGGGGGGGGGGGGGGGGGGGCAGGGTGTCAAATTTTATGATTGATATATTATTAGGGACCCTAAACCTCCCCCAAAATAGGGAGAAATATTTTTTTCCCCCAAAATTAAAAAGTCATGCAGTAGAGGGTTTTTTAAGGCAATTGTTGTTGTGATTTGGTGTAATATAAAAAAAACTGAATTGAATTAAATGTTTAATTTAAATTTCACAAATAGCTCCTTCAAAGTATATATGTTCATACTGTATGTTTTCTCTTTCTCATTATGTTTTTCTCCTCCTCCACCACTCCTCTCTCTCCTCCTTCACTTCCACTTTATCCTTTTCCTCCTCACTTCAAGCCTCATCTCCTGAGCTGAAGACAGAGCTCTAATACACAAAAATGTGCATAAACATGTTTATTCATTCCCAATATTGTTGCAGTTGCTTGCAACCTTGATGTATCTGGACAGCTGACAATGAGCTGGCTAGACAACGACAACAGCTGGTTATAAGTTAGCACTAAATGTTAACTTATATAAGTTAGCCTAACAACTAATGTTAGGCTTGAGTGTCATAAAAAAGGACACTTTCCCTCTAATAAACAGTTTGATTATATTCTCACATCTTAAGAGAGTTTATTCACTAAGTATTCAAGTCTGAAAATGTTATATCCACTTCAAAGAAGGCTAACAGCAGCTAACAGCAGCAAAAACTGCAGCGCTTACTAACAGAAAAAGATGTCCTCAACAACTGACCTCAGTATTGCTGCCACTGATCAGAAGGGAACTTATTTGACTAATTGAGTTGTATCGGACTCCTTTCACAAAGATTTACATCCTCCTAGCGTAAATAGACATGGACACTGGCTGAATAAACAGCAGACCTAAAGCCTACATTCACGAGATTTGTTTTTTCTAGAGCGACTACAGTAGATAAGATTATGTAACTGAACTGAGAGGAAAACAGAATTCAGTTGACTGCAATCTGCAATCTACTGACATCTAGTGGTGAAATCTTCCACACTGTACCTTTAAAGAAAAATAATTGAATGTACTGAATATGCGATGTGTTTGTTTCTTCACTTGTTATTATTAGAATGTGTTAAATTTGTTGTAACTTCTGCTGCTCTCTTTGCCAGGTCTCTCTTTAAAAAGAGATGCACTAAGGTCAGGTTATCTTCTGTTTTAAGGTTGTTGGTTTTTTTGCACATTTCAAATTATAAACAAGTACAAGAAAGAAAAATATTTAGAGCCGCTTCAAGGTTCCCTGGATGTGAAAGCGATTATTTAAAATACTGTAACGCATTCGGCTCCAGTTTCCATCATTCCCCGCTTTGCACCCCTATAATTAGGTGAACCAGGTGCGCTCAGCCAATCAGGTGTAGACAGAGCTTTGCCCCAGGGGAAGTTAAATCATACAGTTCTTCTGGAGAGGTGTCCGTCACACCTTGCAGTGTTTTTCTTTAATAAGCCACAGCTTGCAGCTCGGAAAAGTGGAAATATCAACCACATGTCATCTGCTCGACATCGGCTGCGTTTGTCGTCGCCTGGTGGCCGCACGGGGGAAGCCCACAGCGTGAGCAGACAGGCAGAGTGAAGGCACACAGGGCTCAGAGCATGTCGCCTCCTGTTGCTGCAGCTCACTGTGGGATCTGCTGTCGACCTTTCACACTGTACACATGAAGGCGGAAAGCTTTTTTGCGCCTCTCCTCACTATGTGCGACCCGGACCTTTGGATGAGTTTACCAGCAAAACGTCTCCTCTGAGCCTGGAGGGGGGAAAATAAAAAAAAACGGGTTTGTCGTTTGCGGGGATTTTCTTTTTTTGACACAACTTGTCAGAGAAGTCGTTTTCTGCTCCTGCTACTGCTGGCGGTTTGTTCGGAGCTTCTTGCGGTGTAAAAGTGTGAAACAAGTAAAAGAGAGCAACAGATGTTTCTGGTGGATATGCGGCCGGCTGAGGAATGAAAGCAGCAGCGAGGCACCGGCGGCCCTTCCAGCGGTTCTGCTGCTGTGGAGTCGGGCTGGTCGCCGTCATTTGGCTCGCGCAGGTCATCCAGGCACCAGGTGAGACCTTAATATAGACACAGAGGCTGAGCGCGCCTGCGTGCGTCTACTCTATAAATCCGTACAAATATCAGCTGTAGGATATCTCGTAAGATTGAAATAAAATGTAAAACACATTCTTTCTCTTCACATTCGCAGTATAATGAATCTGACTTTCCACGCATGTGTGTTTGCTCTCAAGAATGAGAAATGCCGCTGCTGTGCCCACTTAGATGCTAAATTATTATTATCTCGTTCTTATATAAAGATTTATGATGATTAATTCTCTGCATCCTGGCAGTGAGGAGGAGAAACCAGAAGGAAATTGTTTAAAAACGCGCACACACGCACTTAGATGTGTATTAAGGTAGTGCTTCTCTCAACTAAAGCCACATGAAACTAGTAGAAACGCTGCATAATTCATGTGTTTGTCTTCGAGAAAAAAATAAAGATGTATGTATTACATATGTATACCTGTGGTACAGCTGCAGATGCACGTGTGTAGAAATACATGTACATTATTCCAACACTTAACGGTGATGAATAAGTAGGAGAGCAGGCAGGTGCGCACTGGATTGATTGTCAAGTCACCCTGAGGGAAGGTGACAGTTTGATGATTACATAAAGCAGTGACAAACTGTGGCATGTTTAAATCCAATCACTGCGGATAAGGTCACTTATGGGTTGGGCGTTCAATTTATATTACATCTTCATCTCTGAAGAATTACTGTATACAACGGGGCATGTTTAATTTTTTGGGGCATATTTGCCTTATCCCCAAATAGACCGCCTGCCCTGTTAGTGTCCTCCTGTTCCCGAAAGCGGCGAACATGGTTTTCAGTGGAGTGTTGTTAATTAATAGTTAAATTAATCAAATTTGTCTCGGTTCGTTTCTTTTGGCAACATGTGACATAACTCATATCCCCTAGGACTGATGCCTGCAGCCTCCAGGGTAAAATAAACTTACATCTATAAAAGGACATGTAGTGAAGGAAATGTCACATAAGTAACCGGCTTTATAATTTGTGTATACACACACACACACACACACACACACACACACACACACACACACACACACACCTCCATCTTTATGTGCTTCCGTCTCCTTAAAACACAACCCCTCTAAGATTATGCGACACTTCCAGTTGTATCAGTAGTCGCTAAGTTAGATGCGTTATTCTCATCTAACAGCATTGCACCTAAAGGCATCACCCCACCCCCTCACCCTTGTCCTCCTCCAGCTCATCATCATCCCCTCATCGCCTTTGCTGATGTGATCCCTCGCTGTCACGCACACTCATCAGCACCAGCATCACCAACTGCGTTGCACCCCTCTGCCACCCTTTGTTCAGATAAATATTTGAATAGGTGAACTTTTTGTTCCATCACTAGTGTTTTGTTTTTTTTTTACCTTTGGGCTTCATCCCAGTAGCACAGGACATCCTTGGTGGAAGAGTGTCCTTCTGAATGAGCCGTGTCATTAATATTTATACTTCACCTTTAAATTATGAGTGTGCCCATCAGCTCTGAAGAGGGTTTCCGAACTGAGACCAAGGCTGCTCAACTTAAAACCATATAAAAGCACAAAGCGCTGGGCAAAGCATGTGTCCTGCTGTTTGTAATGATGACAGGCAGGTTACTCTCACAATAGTTGGAAAATATTACACATACTGTAGCATCCTGAATACCACTGCTCCGTTAACCATTTATGGATGTGTAGCTCTGTTACTATCAGTCTGATACTGGGGTGGGGAAAAGAGAAGCTTTACATTAAGGATTGGGAGAATGCATTACAATCCAAAGCAAACTGTTGTCAAGTATTTCTGTGCAAAATCATGTTTACTGTCATTTTTGCCAAAGAAAAAGATTAATGGTAAAATATTCATTGTTTTTAAGCAATGCAAAACACAAGAAACACCCTTCGGACACCAATATTACCACATGAGCAAGACACTTCCAACATGGGAGCTCATCTCAGTTTCTGGGAAGATGTAAAAAAGCTTAGCAGGTTTAGTGAACGTTAATCTTTTTCACATTTTTCTGTCAACTTTGCAGAAGTAAACATAATATGAAAGCAAAGTACACACATGGCTGTACCAATACTGCTAATTTATATAACCAGCAGATATGAGGCAACTTTGGGATCATTTGGAGCTGTGTTTGCGTCTACCTGATAAAATTCAGCGTATATGTGAACTTTTAATAGTACCAAGTTTCTGTAAAGTGAAACACACATTTTGCCCATGTTGCTGGGCATCTACCGCACGTTCGCAGATGAACCCACGGCTGATAAGAGCACTGAGAATCAACCAATCAATTTTTTTTAAAGCTGCATAAACCTGACAAAATGCTCCCGAGTCCCTCCACATGAAATCTTCATGCTTTTCCTTAAACATCTGCATGAAGATTACAGTGACACATCCACGTATGTAGATCTCGAAAGATTGAACAGCTCAAGTATTTGGATCTTTTACGTAAGTAAAGGTAGCAGTACTACAGTGTAAACACAGATAGTAATGTTGCTGCTCACACAAAATAACGGTGACATTTTAGGATAGGAACATTGTGCACACGTCCAGATGCCTGTCGTTGAGGTACGTAGAAAGGTTTGGCACGTGTTCTTCTGTTATAAAAAATACTCATCATCCATGATTTGTTCCTAACTGTCCGACTCTAAAATGTCTCCACACTTGTTTTAAATGTTTGATTTGGTATTGTCTGCACTCAGATGTTAATCAAAATGTGGCTGAGGTATAATTCAGGTCAAATTTAATGTTTATCAGCTCTTTGTTTAGCGACACAGGACACTTACTAAATGTGCAGTGTGAATGTCAAAGAGACCCAGAGGACTACAGCGTTATCTATGTGGAAACATGGCAGTGTTTCTGTGTAGATAACAGTGTTTCCATGAGAAGATTGGACTGCAGATTCCCCCCCCCCCCCACACACACACACACACACACACACAGACGTTTTACCTGTATTGCTACCTTTTGAGGATTTCACTGTCAGGCACATTTAATACTGCAGACTGCTGTCTGTCTGGCCTTGTGGAGGCAGTGAAGGTGTTTGGGGTTCGATCTCAAGAAGCCAGCCTGTCAGTCATTGTGTGATTGATGGCATCAAATGTCTTGTTTCCGCCAAAGATGGCGATACTACTAGGTTTTCAGAGAGGAAAAGAAGATGGCGTAGGGCCTTGTTCATCTGTATCTTAAATAACACATTGTTGTTTCAAGTCAGACAAAGGGAGGAAAAAAGAGGTTTGTATGGTAGTTAGACCATTAATCCCAGTTTAGCACAAGTTACAAAAAGATTCCGAATATTTGATTTCTTCATCACATTAAGACTAAAAACAAAAGTAAACAAAAGAAATCATAAATTATGCGGACATAACTTGCTTGGACCTTCCCACAGTCTGCACTGCCATACAGTGAGTTATGACCAAAATTATGTATTTAAAGGTTATGTGTTTATACTGGACCATTTCTCAGCAGGATTAAGGTATTTCCATTCAAACACCTCATTTCTTGTTCCATCAGCTTTCATCACTGATCAGTCTGGTTCCTTATTCCTTTGTTTACATGTAAATGTTACTAACAACTTTACTGTTACAGTAGATAATACTGTAACAGTAAAGTTGTCCAAATTTGACACCATTGATCATTAAGGTAAAAAGCACCTTCACACTGCGTTCTTAATGCGTGGAAAGTGTGTGCATGTGTAATTTCTGTTACAAAACTTGTATCTTCAAGGATGTCTTTAAAAAAACGTTTAAAAAAAATGAAACACTGGAATATTGAGGTTTAGCACCTTAGAAAACTTTACAATATAGTGCATTGAAAACTCTGTCCATGTAGTTGGAATGTGAAAATCTAAAGTGATAAATTCAGAGGCTAAATCATTTTTTAATCAGTGTTTGTTTGATTTAAAGTTAGAAAAAAAATTGCTTTTAGTTATATGAATGCTTATATTTAAAGTTATATGCGCTCATTGGCTGCTTTGTTAGGTTCACCCATTCAACTGCTTGTCGGCCAATCACATGACACCAACTCAGTGTACTTAGAATGCTTTGAAAAAGAGAAAGTATCCAGCGAGCTGCAGGTCTCTGGGCTAAAATACCCTGTTGATCTCAGAGGTCAGAGGAGAATGACCAGATTAACTCAAATAACTGCTTGTTACAACCAAGGTATGCAGAAGAGCATCTCTGAACACGCAACACATTAAACCTTGAAGCAGCTAGGCTACGGTAGAAGACCACAGCACATGCCACTCATGTCAGCTACAAACAAAAACACTAAGGCTACAACTCACACACAGGCTCACCAGAATTGGACAGCAGAAGATTAGAAAAGTGTTGCATGGTCTGATGAGTCTCAATTTTCTGCTGCCACATTCAGATGGTAGGATAAACATGAAAACATGGATCTATCCTGCCTTGTATCAACAGATCGTGCTGCTGGTTGTGGTGTAATGTAGTGGGGAATATTTTCCTATCACACTCTGGGCCCGCTTCTTATTGTTTAAACACCACAGAGTACTGTTGCTGCACACGTCCATCCCTTTATGACCACAGTGTACCCTCCTGTGTACCATCACGTACAGTGTATATAAGATTTCTGTAGTTACTGGACATTACACCAGCCTAATAAAAGGTCTATTTTTAGTTCATTTGTTTGCATTTGGTACCTCAGCACTCCTACACTCCATAACTCGTGACACTTTTGTTAGACCTGATTGTTTTATGATGTGCGTTTGATTTGATGCCCTAGTAAACTACTTAGCAGGGTAGATTTTGAAGCTTGCTTAATTATTATTGATTTGATGATTTTAAAAGCATACTTTTATAAAGAATTATTGACCATGTACATCTTTTTTCCTATAATATAAACCTATGTAAAATTCATAGGTTTTTCTTCAAGGTTTATCTAACCTGGCTAATCAACCTTGTGTATCATCCTGTATTCTTCCAGCAAAATAATGCGCTGTGTCACTAAGCTCAGATAATCTCAAAGTGGTTTCCTGAACATGACAATGAGTTCAGTGTACTCAAATGGCCTCCACAGTCACCAGATATTAATCCAATATAGCACCTTTGGGATGTGGAGGAGCAAGCAATGAATAAGCAGCTGTGTGGCTAAAATCTCAGAGGAATGTTTCCAACACCTTGTTGAATCTATTTATGAAGACAAAAGGGAATCCAACCCAACACCAGCGAGGTGTTTCTAATAAAGTGGCGAGTGAGTGTATTTTTCCCCACACTGGAAGCTATTGCTTATTCAGTGTTAAAGATAAAACTGATATTTGCTTTCTGGTAAGGAGGTGTGACAGTGTTTCGATTAATCAACAGACAAATTAATTAGTTCGGCTTTTAAAATATCTACTCTTCAAAACCCAGATATATGATACAGTTAGTCAAACAGCCATGATGTGTGCAGATCATAGCATGTTGAGATTACAGGAATAAACATCACGTATTTATGTCTCCTTTTTTTAATGAGCTAAAATGTTGGTTTAGGCATTTATAGATGTGTCCCAGTGAGACATGTGAAACGCGGTACAGAGCCATCTGTGGCAGAAACCTATTTGAATTTCACACGAGGCGAGCTCCTCTTGATACCTCAACATGAAAGCCTTCACGTCTCTTCTCAGCCTCGACCGCTGCCCTCGTGAAATGGGCTCATTGAGCTGTAAGGTACAAAGGGACACGACAGCACCCGGCAATCACGAAATGCATCAGAGGCAGACGCCGAGAGGCCTCATAATAAAAGGACGGCGTGTAGTAGAGAGCGTAATAACTCCCTCGCTATCTTCTCAGCCTGTAGTGGAAAGCTCTCAGTGGGTGGTGGTGGAGAAGGAGATCTGTATATATATATATTTATATATTTTTTTTTTTCCATATATATAGATTGTAGAGGCAGATTTATCTGATGGGACTTATTCAGCTGTCGCTCTGCCAAAGCTATAAAAGGAAACCCACACATTTCAACTGTTGAGGAATAAAATACACAACAGAAATAGACACTGTAAAGATTTCAGCACTGATGGCTGAGAAATATTGAACATGCTGTTATCTCCCACAGACAGAAACACAACGCTACAGTGTGATTATTTATTTATTTGTTTTTTGCTAGACCCCCCCCAAAAAACCCTCACATTGGAAATTACAGTAAGATTGCTTGTCCAGCGTTCGAATTCATCAATACAGAAAAAAATGATGGTGTTGGTAAAAACAGTTTTTAGGCAGCACACACACAGCTCTGAGAAATCGCGACAGGTATTTTAATTCAGCTAATTATTTTCGTTATGACCTCTGATTATTTAGTTTTAATTTTGGTTTTTAAAAATCCAGTAATTGTTACAGGTGAGAGATGTAAACCAGCAAGTGTTTGACATTTTTGCTTGAAAAGATCAATAAGCAGTTTGTCCTGTCGTCGGCTAATTAAAGAAACAATCCATCAACATGCAGTGCAAAACATTAGTGAGAATAGTTTTTGGTATTGACTCTAAATCAAAGCACCTTCTGAATCTGGAGTCCTGTGAGGCCTGTTCATTTGGCTGCTTTTGCACTAAAATGGCTCGTGTTGTTTTGCAACAGAGACAGAGTCTTTGGGGTTTCAGCCAGGCGTGAATGGTGAGACGCTACAATGGACACGAAGGTTAATGCAGGAGAACTCAGACAACCAGAGCCTGGATCTGGATCAGCCCCGAGCAGGTGAGTCACCATTCTTTTCCTAAATAGATGCCGCTTGTTTCTCCAGGACACACCAGCAAGCTCCACAACACTGTCTGTACTTCCTTCCACTTATTCCACGTAGATAATGCCTTAAAAAAAACCCCTATATGCTCTGTAACAGTGAATTTTTACATTTTCTTAAAACTGAAATAAAACTGTTTTATACACTGAGGCAGTCATTAGTTAGGAATATAGAGAGCAAGCTATGCTGTCTGATTGTGTATGAGGGCGCCCGCCCCACCTGAACAGTGACCACCACCACCTCTGATTCTCCTGCTCCCTGGAATTCCCACTTTTCCACCTGCAGGTGCATATTTGTATTGGCAACTGGATCTCCTAAGATGAAGTAGCAGAGAGCCAAGACTTGTAGGAAGTACAGGTTGTTGGCATTTATTGTAATTTGTTCAAACAAAAACATGGCTTTTCAATGAGCTGTGTGCCAGCACATGATTCTACGCACCACAGTTCAAGTCATCTGAGACAAATGTTCTCCCAGACTTCTTGGGATGTTACAGTTGTGCTCTGTGTTGAAAGTGTGACCCCCTCTTTTGGTGTGGACACTCCCTGATCTTTCAGGTGCAAGTTTGAACCCTGTGTTGAAGTCACAGGAGGTCAGAAGAGGACTTCAAGGAAGCAACCCACAGTGGTGGCTGTGTGTTACTGCAAAAGCCAAATTTATTTGGGGTTACGGATTTTGTTTGGTTATTTACAGGCACAGTCTCTGATCTGATTTATAGTGTGGTTCAGCAGTTATTGCCTGACGGGAGTTCTTATGTATTTGTGTGTGTGTGTGTGTGTGTGTGTGTGTGTGTGTGTGTGTGTGTGTGTGTGTGTGTGTGTGTGTGTGTGTGTGTGTGTGTGTGTGTGTACGCAGGTAAAAAAAAGAAGTCTACTAGAGATGTGCTTCTCCCCTGCAGGTGAACTGAAAGGTCACACAGAGTAGGCATTGTGTTTGCTGTCATGAGTGTGTAGTTTGCGTGTCAAGCTCGTGCACTGAAAAGAGGAGATGGATGAAGCCCATAAGAAGACCGGCAGAGTGAAGATCCGATTAGATTTTCTGAGGTAGTCTGTCTCTAACAAATGCCCAGTTACTTTCTTTGCTTCCTTAGCTTTGGTCGGCCCTGAACGCTTCGGATGGATTCTAACTGCCCTTCATGAAATTATTACTGAGACATGCAGCCACTGAGCAGCCGTAATGGGACTTCTGCTTCTCTGGTTCTCAGGTTGATTAGCTGGCTGGCTGACATGAGCTGCATTCATCACAGCTGACACTTTTATTATTAAAAATTCAGATCGGAGAGGAAATCTCTTCATTGTTGTGCGGGGAGAATAGCACAGAGTAGATAAAATAACACGGCTGCTCAATGAAAAATCTGTTGCCCTTCTGATAGAATACAATTGAGTATCTCTGTATCATTTGCATTCCCTCTATGGCTGTTCTAATATTAGGCTGTCAGTCACAATTCTGTATTGTATGCAAACTGAACAGTTATTGTTGGAAGCTGAGGACAAAATTTCAAGCTTGGTCTTTGGGCAAGTTATGCTAATAATATTCCATGCAAATGGCCTGCCAAGACCACACTCCTCACTAAATGCCACCCAAAACCTGTTCTGCCTAATCTGGATGTGCAGCTTAAAAATACAGAAACACAGTACAGGGACATGAGTATTGGGCCACACCTCTTCATCTTTGAATTCAGGCGTCATTGCCACAGGTGTATAGGGTCAAGCACCTGGTCATGCAGTCTGCCTTCACAAACGTTTGCAGAAGAACGAGTTGTTGTTAAAGAGCTCACTGAATTTGAGCGTGTTGCTGTAATAGGATGCCACAGTTACAACAAGTGAGTTTGTGAAATTTCTTCTCTCCTTGCCCGAGGAGTTCAAGCGCTCCTCGGGTAATGACATCTGCACAAAACCTGTGCCGACCAGGGGCAAGACTGCTCCTCTGAAGCCATGTTGAAACACCTCTAAGCAGCAATTCGGGAAATTATTTTGAAGCAGTAATTTAAGATAAAAACAATATACCACCAATCATCGTCTATTTATTTTAGAATGTCTCTGCAAATCCACAATAAGTGCAAAATCTCATCTTAAATAACCCGTCGGTATTTATAGCCTCCAGATTGATAGTTAACCATGCCTTCATCCCAGGCTGTCAGAATTAATCAACGCCGCCAGGAGACACGCACCCATCATTTTACATATAAGGAAAAAAATGATTTTAATTGATTTTTTTTTCTGTTGCGTGATGATGAAAACAGATATACAGGTGAGATACAGCTAGCTCACTGTCCCTCAGTCTGCCACACACCACAGCAGAGGTGCTCATACTTCGCACTCCTGAGATAAAATAATGAGATTCGTTGTATCTCCACCCCAGTGCTCCATTTGTAACCAGTTTTATGTTTTTTTTAATCTGATGACACATGACCTTTATTGAGTTCCTGGCTGCAAACAGATTTCCCTCATTATCTCTTACAAAGGCACAAGTGCACATGGGGAAGCTGTGCTAATAGACTGGAGACATGAAGATGTAAAAAGGCTGGACAGGTAGTATAAGGCACAGCAGTGAGCACGGCCCGAGCCTCAGGTTGCAGTCCTCCTTCTCAGCCAGCCGCTTGACAGCGATTGCATAATCTGGAGTGTGATTAAAAACCCTGCCCTGGACCTCGGGGGATATTATCTCGGGGATTGCACAGTAACGTTCAGCCCTCCGGCTCTCTTTTCATCCCTCTGCTTCTTAGCAAGATGGAGACGGTGTGATCCGGCTTCAGCTGACAAGCCTCGAGGAGACTGTGGTTGCTAGGCAACTGAATGCTAAATTTTGAAACCCAGACAATTCAGTCTTTCAAGCATTAAAAGTGCAAAGAGCTAAAAATAGACAGCTGGCCTCGGGTGGGGGTTTAGGGTTCAAAGAATCCAAACGATGTAAATGAAGTAAATGGCTCAGGGTGCGTTGTTGTCGAGGTTTGTTATGTTTGTTTTGGCAAGCAACAGTCGGCTTAGAATAGTATTTTTCCACAGCCATTTTTGGAGAGTTTTTTTTTCAAGAGGGAGGAAGTGTTGAGAAAGAAAAACTGGCTGATAATCCAACTCAAATTGTCTTCGAATGGTCCTGGACTGTTATCAGGGCGCTTACATTATACAGTCGCTAATGAAACTGGAGAAGAAGCTTTGCAAAACAGCAGATATGGGTCCTTGTTCCAGTTCATATTCTGTCCATTAAATACTCAGCGTTTTAGGGCTGAAAGTATGTTTATCACATTCTCCTTTAAAAGGAGCTGTTTATGTTTCAAATCAAATTTGCATGTATCCCTTCAAGTCTGCAGAGCCATTTATCCATCTGGAGTGCTCTTGAAGTTGCTCAGTTTTGGAGATGTTGACTGCAAGAAAGTTGTCTCCTTACATTATTTGAAACTTGGTAGATACTTACAGGCATATCTACATTCTCACATGAATACTGTGTAAGTATATTCAATTGTACACCATAACTGCTTACTTATATACATGCTTAATTACTTACATACTTACTGGCATATATAATGGATTAATAGCTTACTTACATGCTTACTTACACAGATACATACATAGTTAGATGCCTACTTACATATATACATGGATGCTTGCATACTTGCTGAAATACATACTTAACCCTTTGAAGCCTGAAACACGAAATAATAATTCTAATTTTTTTAATTCTAGTTTAAAAAATATATATGAATGAGTTTTCATTTGTAGTATATTTGCTACATCAAGCATTTTCTGACGCATTGTAAAACATGCAGTGTACACGTACACTGCACGTTGTAGGAACAAGGAACAAGGAACCATGTCGGTTTTTGGGGGAGAAAAAAAATTACATTGATGATAGAAGTGTCATGAAGTCTCAGAAACAAAAACCCATGTATCAAATATGGTGTACTTGGCTTTAAAAGGGTTATTTTCGTACTTGAATATTACATATAGTGACATACTTACTTATTTGCTTGTTTACTTGCTTCATTAATGTCAAGAAAAGTTATCATATTTCCTTTCATAAAAGCAGTACCTACCTAGTACCTAAAAAAAACAAACACTCAGTCCTTGTTAGCAGCTTTGTGTCTTTGTGCTGAGCTACAATCACCAACCATAGGAAGTGTGCAGTGAGCTAACAGTGCTGCTCAGCTCAGAGGAACTCACAGGGCTCTAGACTAACCTTCTGCCACAGTTGCATTGGTGCGCCCAACTTTATTAACTGCATTGCTTAACCCCACTGTTTTACATGTTCACTATTCGCTGTCCATACAGACAAGATTGATTTATAAATGATTAACTAACAATCTTGTCAACACAAAGTTCTTTATTTGGAGCACAGTTCTAAAAGAAAGATAAGTTACTCAAAAAGCGCTTGTGCTTAAAGTGTGTTGGCACTCTTTGGCAATATTGTAGACAATGTTAAACTCACATCGGCCTCCTCTGACGACCTCTTCTCACCAGCGCTGAAAGGCAGCGGGGAGAGGGGACTCTTGCATTTATCATGGCATTTAATGTGTTTTCTGGACACACTGTGCTTTTTCAGCGTTCAGAGGTTGATGGCTCCGTGTCAGAGCACTGGCTATGAATTTCAGACGGATCAGGGCTTAACTTAACGAAAAAGTCATCTTTTCTCATTACCCACAGCTACATCCACTTCTGTCGGGCCTAGGCTACATAAACACAAAACGAGGACCCAAGGCATCAGAAACTGTGAGTTCTCGGCCTTCAGCACCGATGGTGTGTCCGTGTACGTGCCGTTGGGTGAGAAAGCCGCCATCTCACTGATTCTGATGCGTCGGGTCCGCGCTTTGATTTTATGTCTTTGTGCAGAATCCGTTTACCCGCTCTCATTTGATGTTTTAGCTGTTTGGTGGTTGTTGAAATAGTTTTGTGAGCTTTAACCTGAGATTCTGGCGTTTCTGGCAAAATACATATATAATTAAAAGTGGATTCAGGATTTTATG